AAAGTGCATATATATTGTGCCGTCGTTGCAGAACAGGAGATACGATAGGCTTCTCGCCTGAACCAGGGCGCGATCGCATCTAAATGCATGAAGTTATTTTGGGATACGTCCTGCAGGGACTGGAGGGAGCCGGGAACCAGGAACTGGAAACCGGTAGCCGGTAACCGGCCAGGAACACGGAACCGGGAATCAAACACAGGGAACCTCGCAATACGTAGTTTAAAACATATACGGATTTAGATGCGATCGCCCTTTGATAGAGACGAGGGGCCTATCGTATTTACTTTTCTGTAACGGCGACAATATATATATATATATATATATATATATATATATATATGCAGTTAGATGCTCGCCCCTGGCCTGCACGGGGGCGCCGCCGTATCTAAACGTATGGATCGCTCAAACATATCTAAAACATTGGGACCATATCATGTTTCCAAGCAGGCATAACCGTCCAGATCTAATGTTCAAAGAATGTCATTGCCGTGCCGTATCCAATCGTATCTAAGTTTGTCAGAACGGATGTGGTTGGCTGTGCTTTCGGAGCGAACAGGATCTATGATATTGGTCGAAACAACGAGCAGGTGGATGGGGATAGTGGGAAACCGTAGCGATGAGGAATGGAAAGACGAGCGACGACGACAAAGACGACGAGGACTAGGATGGATAGCGGCGACGACACGAGATTCAGGAGAGAACTGGGAAGGAACAGGGAACCGTAGCAGGGACTGAGCAAGGAGGAGGAAGAGGCGGAGGACGAGGACGAGGAAGGTTGCGTCAAATCGAAAGTGAAGGGGGTGGTGCGGGCAAGGAGAAGAGAAACTGAGCACCGAGGAGGGCGGATGAGGAGGATCCAAGAGGAGTGAGGAGCGAGAATTATCGATCGCAGGCTTGCGCAGAGGGCTCGAGGGACGATCGCGATGGCGGTAATGGGGATGACGAGGAGGAGCACGAGGGTGATCATCGCGGGGGAGTGCCGAGGGGGGTCGGCAGAGTGGGGAATAAAACGCGGGACTCCTTAGGGCGAAGTTGGGAAGAGCACGGGGGAGTTGGGGGAGGAGGAGGAGGAGGAGGAGAACTGTGAGGACGAATCAGAAACGTGAGGGGGATGACTATTTTCGATGAGGGTGCATCAGGGTCATGATGTGGAGGTATGGGACGGAGCGATTCGGACGATGAGCGCGGACGAAGAGGAGGAGGATGACGGCGCGCGGTGAGGAGGGAAGAAGAGCGAGGTGCAGAAGGAGGGAACGCCAGGAGGATAACGTGCAGGAGGGGGAGACAGGACGGGGATGAGGTAGAGCAACGGTTGAAGCGATGTATTCCATCCAAGCGTAGTTATTTAGCCAGATTTGTACGCAGAGCATGTCGTATCCAGTACGCATACAGATACAACAATATTTGTATTCATACGTCTGTTCTTACGAATACGTATAGCTAGATCCATGTATACACAGGGTGTTCAGAGGAACGATAAAGATCGATACACCTACTCTGACATTTTCACACAATGTATGTTGCGAATCTGTGCATGCACACATGTACATTGAAGTCTATGTAGGTTTACTCGCAGAAAGCTACGCGTACAGGGACAAACTGAAGACACATGTAAGGATCTTTGTAGAAATACATATAGAACGCAGAGAGAGAGAGAGAGAGAGAGTGAGGGAGTAAAAGAGGGAGGGGGAGAGAGAGAGAGAGAGAGAGAGAAAGAGAGAGAGTTAGGGTGAGAGAGGGGGCGCGGCCCATACATATGCATGTACATTAAACAAGTGTGTTGTATACACGTGTAGCGGGGACATATATTTACAGACATGTATCCATATATACATATATATACATATATATAGATGTGCGTGTGTTTATATATATATATGTGTGTGTGCGTGTATGTCTATATGTGAAAGAGCGTGTTCTACCGCTGCTGGCGGAAAACCGGGGGGGGTCACTACCGGTTCGAACCTCTCCCCCCCCCCTTCCAGAAAACCAGGGGGGGTCACTACCGGTTCGAACCCCTCCCCCCCCCCCAGTTCATCATGAAAACCAGGGGGGGGTCACTACCGGTTCGAACCCCTCCCCCCACCCTCGAAAACCGGGGGGGGTCACTACCGGTTCGAACCCCCCTCCCCCCCCCCTCGAAAACCGAAAACCGAGTGGGGGTGCGGACAGTGGTGAGGACGGTGTTGGTGGGGACAGTGGTGAGGGGACAGCGGGACAATGGTGGGGACAGTGGGGCAGTGGGACAGTGGTGGGGACGGTAGTGGTGGGGACAGTGGTGGGGACAATGGTGGGAACAGAGGGGACAGTGGACAGTGGTGGGAACGGTGGTGGTGGGGACAGTGGTGTGGGGACAGTGGGAATGAGGTGGAAACAGTGGGACAGTGGAGGGTACAATGGTGGTGGGGACAGTGGTGAAGGCGGTGGCGAGGACGGCGGTGGGACAATGGGACAGAGGTACAGTGGGGACAGTGGTGGGGACAGTGGGGACAGTGGTGGGAACAGTGGGACAGCTCAGTGGGACAGCGGAGGCGTCAGTGGGACAGTGGGGACAGTGCGGATAGTCGGGCAGTGGTTGGGGCCGTGGAGACAGTGGGGAGAGTGGAACCGTGGTGGGAACAGTAGTGGGGACAGTGGGGACAGTGCGACAGTGGTGGGGGCACTGGTGGGGACAGTAGGGACGGTGGTGGAACCAGTGGGGACAGTGGTGGTGAGGACAGTGGTGCTGGGAACAACAGTGGGGGATGTGATGCGGACGGTGGTAGGGACCGGGAGTCGTTTGCTGGCGGTGCGTGTGGGGGGGGGTGTCGAACCGGTAGTGACCCCCCTCCGGTTTTTCGAGGGGGGGGGGGGGTCGAACCGGTAGTGACCCCCCGCGGTTTTCCAGATCCGGAGGGGGGGGGAGGGTTCGAACCGTAGTGACCCCCCCTGGTTTTTCGAGGGGGAGGGGGGGGGGGGGAGGGGAGGGGGGGGTTTTGCCGGGAGATGGGGGGGGGGATTCCAGCAGGGGGGGGGATTTTCGAGGGGGGGGCGACCCCAGGGTTCCGGAGGAAAAGGTTGGCAATTTTCCACAGTAAAGCGGCGGTGGATCACGCTCTCTCCTATATGTGTACATGTGTGTATTCATAGATGGGACAACATACATATACATACGGAGTGAGAGAGAGAGAGAGAGAAACAAGTAAGAGACGCCGGGATCCGGAATTGGGAACCCGAAGCCGCGGAAACCGGGAACCCAGAACCGCGAACCCGTATTCGGTGCTGGGAGGGGGGCTGTCCATGTGTATATACATGTGTATATATATGATGCATCGATGGAAAGAGAGAGAGAGAGAGAGAGAGAGAGAGAGAGAGAGAGAGAGAGAGAGACATTACCAGTATACAGGGTCGGCGGCTCCAGTCAGGTGCCTCGACTCTCCATTCGGGCTCCCTGGGCTTCGGGGACCTCTCCCCAACGGCCCCAGGGGCGTCCCAGACGGCCTTCAGGTGGACCTCAGACAGCCCCCAGAGGCCCCCAAGACGATCGAAGAGCACCCCGAATCGCTGACAGAGGGGCTCAACAAGCACCAGATGGCCTCCTGACGGCGCAACAGGCCTACAGGACGCCCCAAGATGCGTCCCAGAGCACTCCCACAGGAGTCCCAAGAACCAGCAGAGGGTGCCAGTCCAGCCCCTGGGGGGCCCCAAGGAGACCCCCGAGGCGCCCCTGGAGCGTTCCAGACGGCCCCCCATACGGGCCAGAAGAGTCCTCAGGGCCCCCGACACACTCCAATCAGAAGGGGGAACAACACACAGGCACGATTAATCGTCGATCCCCCAAAATTTTTTGGAAAATATTGGAAGTGGGGGCGAAAACAGAAACCCAGAAAATATGAATATGGGGAATCTGGTTATTTGTGTCTATTTATTTATGTGTCTCAGTACCCCTTTATCCAAGAACGCCCCCAATCGCTAACAGAGGCGTTCATTATGCCCCAGACGGCACCCCCACGCTCCAAGTAGGCCTCCAACACGACCCAAAATGCCTCCAAGAGTATTCCCACGGGGGCCCGCGCGGCCAAGGAGGGCTCCCAGAATGCTCCATTTGCAACGCAAGTTATGCCACCCGAGGGAGCGCTCGCGTGATGATGGCGACAATGGTGATCCTGATGGCGTTGATGACGACACTGATGGCGATGACGGCGATGAAGATGACGCTGATGATTATTATGGTGTTAATGACGATGATGATGATGTGGATGTTGGTTACACGAGGATGCTGAAGACGATGATGGTGATCATGAGGATTGAGATGCTCGGAATGCTGTCGGTGACGATGATGGTGGCGATCAGGACCTTGACAGTGATAATGTTCCTGATTCCTTCTGATCTTCGGTGCAGCGTCCGCGCTCGCTTGTGGACCCCCAGCGTGGCTTGCGCCAGAACTCGAGACGCGCGAAGTGCGCGCGATGTTTCTAGTGTGTGTGTGTGTTGTGTATATATACATGTATTTGAATCAATATGTGCATACATGTTCTCCAAACAGTGTTAGCACTCAGGGGTCCTTGCTCACGTCACTAAGGAAGTGGATGGGCCGGGCGGCGTTTCGCCGCGTGGCAGCGTCGTGCGTTGGGTGGGTCCGGCAAGGTTTCGCCACATCATTGCCCGTGGTCGCCTCGTGCGCCGGGGGGTCCGGCGAGGCGTCGCCACGTTGCCGCCCGTGGCCGCCTCGTGGACGTTTTTAGCCTGCACCACGCGTGCTGCATCACACACACACCACAGTTTCCAGCAGACGGGCTATCAGATCCTTGAATACGTAAAACATCACCAGCCTCGAACGTATCCCTATCCTTAGGATTGACACGCCAAAAGGTGATGACAATCTTAGGGATTCGCCCTCAAAGAGTAAGGGAATCCCTAAGATTGGCATCGTGATGAGGAGGTGCCCAGCATAGGGATAGGGATATGTTCCAGGCTGGTAAAAAATAACAGTAACTTTGATATGACTATATGTATGCCGCAGCTTTTTCTGGCCCGAAGCGCAGCTGCACCCGCCCTTCAAGGCGCGGGGCCGCCATGGCGGCCCCTGGCGCCCCCACCGCCGCCAGGCTGCAGGCGCCGCTGCTGAGGCCTGCGAAGACGTCAGTTGCGCCCGCGCGGCCAGGCGCTCGAGTAGCAAAAAGCGGCACCGACGGCCTCAAGCCACCCCGGGCTGCGTGGGTGAAGTGGGATTCCATGGCCCGGATTCTGCTTGTTTGTTGTTTGTGGTTGTCGTCATCATCTCCCGCTCGATCCACCTTGCGACCCACCCGCGGCTCACCCGAGCCCCTCCCGCGACCCACTTCGCGCAACTGAGGGGGCCTACGTACTTTCTGCGAGCTCCGCGCGGATTTCTTGGATCGGCGCCGGCCCCCCTGGAGGCACCTCCAGCGCCTCTCTTGGTGCGCTCCGTGCGCCAGGAGGGGCGGAGCCGGCGCCGATCCGAGGAATCCGCGCGGACCTCGAAAGCATACGTATGCCGCGCCTGGCTCCTCGAGGCACGCCGCTGTCCGCCGCGATCAACCTCACGGCCACGGCTGCGGGCGCGGGGATGCTGACGTTGCCCTGGGCCTTCATGCGCTGCGGGCCCGGCAGGTGCCTGGGCATCCTGGCGGCGCTGGCGGTGGTGACGGACGTGTCGCTGGTGCTGCTCGTGCGCGTGGGCCGCGCCACGGGCCTCGTGAGCTTCGGGCCGGTGGTGGAGAGGCTGTTCGGCGACGCGGGGAGCCGCGGGTTCCAGGCGCCGAGCGCCGCGCGAGGGGCCCGCGGCCTCGTGCGTGGGTGCTCGGCGGTCTCTGCCGGCCTCGGGGGCGCTTCCCCCGCGGCCGTGGCCTCGCCGAGGACGTTTTTTGGAGGGGGTTGCCCGCATCGTCCAGGCGGGCCGCGGGAGAGCCGAGCGAGGGCCCGGAAGCCAGGGAGCACCGACATGCGGCGACATGCGGAGGGCTGAGGGGGATGGGCGCAGGGGGGGAGCGCATCGACCCCCAATCGCCCATGCATCGCCGGTAGGGGCCCGATGCCCCAGGCCGCCCAGGAGAGTTCGGTTTCGCTATTGGGGGCTTATCGCCGATCTGTCGGCGACCTATCGCCCATCGCCGATCCCAGGTCGATGTTTCTCCCCTGAGCTAGTCCTCTCCATCGTTCCCCCTCCTAGGCACTGATGGCCTTCATCCTGTTCTCTGCCCTGACTGTGTTCCAGCGCGTCGTGCTGGACCTCCTCCCAATGTTCCTGGAGGAGCTGTGTTCGATGAGCCGGGGCTCGCTGCGACCCATGGCGGTCAGCGGTCTCGTGAACTGTTGCGTCCTCACGGCGTGCATGTCCGACACGTTCCACGGACTGCGCTTCTCATCTGGCGCGTCGCTCGCGCTCCTCGTCCCCTTCGTGGGTGGATTGCTGTGGAAGGCGCTCGACGCCATTGCCGACGTCGAGCCAGTGCACCCTCCCGTTGGCGAGGGTTCCCTCCAGGGACTGGCGCTGGCGCCCGCACTGCTCGCCGGCTCCCTGTGTTGCCACTTCGGCATCATAGAGATCGACAATGAGATGCAGCCCAAATTCCGCACGCACATGTACGGCGTCATCCACGTGGTGTGCCTCCTGGTGCTGCCCTTGACGTACGCCCTCGTGGGCCTTGCAGGCGTCGCGGCACTGGGCGCCGACACCAGCGAGAACGTGCTGGTGGCCTTCGAGGGCGACAGGCTGATGCAGTTTGCCCGCGGCCTGCTCAGCGTGACCAACGCGCTTCGCATGCCCCTCATGGTGAAGCCGCTGCTGGGCCTCGTCCGAGGGATCTCGGGTGGCGGCCCGCCTGGAGGAGCCAGCAGGGTACTCCAGGTGGCGGCGCTGTTGTTCTGCTCGCTCGTCCTCGCTCAGTGGATGGTCGCCCTGACCAGCATCCTGGGCCTCCTCCTCGGCACTGTGGGCGTGATCGGCTGCTACTGCCTGCCAGGGTACATGTACCTGCGCCTGTGCAGGGACGGCGCGGGCGCTGCAAGCGGGCTCCGCGCAGGAGCCTATCTGACGATCGCGGTCGGCGCCTCGACCGCGCTTCTGCAGGTTGCGTTCCAGTGATTCTCCGCCCCGCCTGCACCTGGCGGCGCGGGTTGGCGCGAGGTGGGAACGGCCCTCTCAGAAGGCGGCCTTAGAGTGCAGGCATCTCCTCAAGAGGGGTCGGGGGCTTCTGGCAAGTCTTCTGGCCTCCCTGCCTCCCTGAGGGGCCCCTTGCCTCGCTCCCTCACAGAATCAGGAGGGAAATAAACACACAGACACAATTAATCGTCGAGTCCCAGGAAAATGTGGGAAAATATGGGAATTGGGCTGGAAGACAAAAAACCCAGAAAATATGTCAAAATATGGGGAATCATTTTATTTGTGTGTATTCATTTGTGTGTCCCAGGGCCCCTTCACAGAAGGCCTCACCCCCTCGCGCCACCCCGTCGTGCCCGCCGCCAGTGTCTCCAGGACAGCCAGCGCGGGCCCCAGAGCTCAGGGCGATTTTCCGCGGTTTTCATGCGTAGCAGTCGTTCTCCTACCTCGTGCTGATCCTCGTAAGGTCGAGGGTCTCGAGGCCGCGCGACCAGGGCCCCCTCCGGGCAGATGTTAGGAACTGGTGCAACTCCGAGATCGAGCGCTTGTAAGTCATGGCGGCGTGTTTCGGACTTCAGGTCCGTGCCAACGGGAAACAGAATGCAAATTCCCGCGCGCGTGCCAAGCAGAGCGCGAGCAGAGTAGCTAGACGTGGAGCATTCGAGGGAGTTCCAATCCACTGACGCAGCAGCACGTTTGGCACTGGTCCCTGACAGGCCGCCTCCACAGGGACAGTTATCCTGCGTGATACAGGGAGGGACAGGACAAAAGAGGGACGAGGCATGAGGGACACAATGAGGACGGTATGCGGTCGAAAACGACAAACGGCACGACGTGGGAAGCAGGGGGCGAATGAGAGGGGGAGACGGCGGTCTTCACCAAAGAAAGAAGAGCCTGCAGGACAGAACAAGGAGGAAGAACATGAGTCCAACAGGAGGGGGACAACCAGGTACGGTGAGGGACGGGAAAGGACGGGTGGAAGAAGGGCCGGATTTGTTGATTCTTAATGCGTGTTTATGTTGGTGAGGGTTCAAGGGAGGAGGAGGAGGAGGAGGAGGAGGAGGAGGAGGAGGAGGAGGAGGAGGAGGAGGAATAATAATCCTTTTCATGTCCAGCAGCTGCCGACGCGTACGACTCGTCACCCGCCTCTTCCCATCTCCTCTTCGCTGGGGCCGGGCACGTGCGAGGTGGAGAGGGGTGGGCATGGTGAGGATGAGGAAAGATTGGGTAGAGGAGGAAGAGGTAGCAGCAGCAGGATATCGAGCATGTGGATGCAGAACTCTCAACGGCGCAGGCAGCCAAGCCCAGCGGAACACAACATGATGTACACGATTGCGTCGAGCGAGAGACGCAGGAGAGAGACCATCCCACCCCACCCACATAGGATGGTCTTATGCATGCTCTTGGCATCGCTCGGACGTGTGCATTTTTCCTTCGGCGAGGACCATCGAGGAGCATCCTTGATCATTTGGCGACAAAGCCGCGCACGAAACCGAAACAAAAAAAACACAGGGAATGGACGTCCGCGCGATGGCCAGTGCTCACGCCCCCCCCCCCCACTCATCGAGACCCTCGTGGGAGCCCTGGCTCCCTCTCGGGCAGGGCGCGCGCAGCATATTCGCCACCGGCCCCTCTCGGACGCGGCACGCGCTGCCCCGGGACCGGGCCTCGCAGGCAGAGATGTCCCCCCCCCCTTCCAGAGATCCCCCGGCCCTGCTCGATGCCCCTCCTCCTCCTCCTCCTCCTCCTCCTCCTCCTCCTCCTCCTCCTCCTCCCCAGACCCCCTCGAGTCATGAAAAAATCACGACGGGAGGTTTTTCATTATTTTTGGCCTCCGGGGGCCCTTACCGGACCTCGGGACCGTCAAAAAACGGCTCAGGACGAAAAACCGGTCCCAGGGAATGGGTCCAGACCGCTGGGGGTCGACGTCATGAAAAATTCATGACGTCGGGGGTCTGGGTCTTCTCCTCCTCTTCCTCCTCCTCTTCCACTTCTCCTCCTTCTCCTTCTCCGCCTCCGCCTCCGCCTCCTCCACGCCTCCCTCCTGCTCCTCCTGCTCCTCCTGCTCCTCCTTCTTCTAGGCGGCCGGTTGAAAAGTCGACCGCCTGGCAACACTTCCGCGAGAGCGCCTGGGCCGCCCCTTTCTTGCGGCCTGGGTGCGCAGCCCTCGGCATCGCTCGGAAGTGTGTATTTTTGCCCGGCGAGTGCCATTGGGAAACATATCGGACCATCTTACGACATGTAAGTGCGCAACACCGAAGCATGCACGGGGAATGGACGTCCGAGCGATGGCGAGTCACTGCATCGGTTCCAGTTGGAGCGGGCGTGAGGGGATGGAAACCAATTCGGCCACCCACGTCTGCCCTGGAACGCGGTGAGGACTCTCGCAGCTGCGGCAAAGTGTCAGGGGATGGAGAGTGATTCTTGCATGAGCCCGTTTTTGTTCAGGGTATGGGCGATAACGGCCGTGAGCTCGGCTCTCTCCCTCTCCCCCTCCCTCTCCTCCAGGATCGCGTCGCGCCTGTTTGCCCACAATTGCAAAGATGCATTCGAGGGTTTCCTGAGATTTCTGGCGGCCCCCGCCGTTGGGCGATCGGCCCCCCCCCCCCCCCAATAGAAAAAACAGGCCCTGCCTGTTTGACAATCGAGCAGTGCGAAGGCTTGATGAGAAGTAGCCGCACCTGCTGCAGATCAGGATGGCCCTACCAGAGGAACTCGTGAGATGGAGGCTGTGAACCTTGGGACCCTGCAAGGCATCCGCGAGGCGCCGATTGACTCACAACACAGGGTCCATCCTGCTGGGACTCGGGCGGCTGCCACGCAGTGCATCCCCAGGGATCCACAGGCACCTCTTCCCTTGAACGCCGCATGCGCTGACAGTACCGGTCCTGCCGTTGCCGCAGCTCCCAGCCCAGCACTTGCACCGTGCTCACAACATGTTGGCTTCAACCGCGTTGTCGGCTGTTCGTCCGCTGTCACTGTCGGCGTCGCCCTGGCGACCACCGCCCCCGCCTCCATCTCCCACCCTCTCATGAGCGTCGGCCATGTCCGTAATCGCGCCCTCGCGGCCTGGACTCGTCGGTACGCCGTCGGTCGCGCGGATAAGTTCCGCGCGGGGCATCCGCGAAAAAGCGCTTCGTCTCCGCGGGGTCGCGGAACAGGGGCCCAGCCCGCGAGACCGCGGACACGGATCTGTTCTCCGGCCCTGAACCTCACTGCAGCTTTCTTCGCTCGATACCGGCAGCAGTCCGGCGCCACGGGGGAGGAATGGGCCTCGCGAGCCACGCCCGCTGGGCGCGGTGCCGTGCGGCGCGGGTGTCGCCGTGGGCTCGAAGGATGAACCTCAGCGCGTTCGGCAGCAAGAGGTGGCACGGCATCGCGGCGGCCCAGCCTGCCCAGCTCCTGTGCGCCGAGGTGCGGCCTGCGCTCTGCTTCCCCGAGCAGAGCTGCGGAGCTGGTCGCAGGGGCCCGCAAAGGGCACAGCACTGTCCTCGTCCTCACCTCGTGCTCCTTCTCTTCCTCGTCCTCCTCCTGCCGCTGTCGTTGTGTCTGCCACTGCGAGTTCGTCTGCGACTACGGCTCTGCGTCGGACTGCGGTGACGGTCCTGCGGCAGGGGTGCCTGCCGACTCCCCCGGCACGAGTTGGACAGTGGTCAGTTGGGCGCCGCGTAATGGGGGGGTTATAAACGGGGGGATGTCGCGGGTTGTCCGAAAAGGTACCCAAACAGTACCCAAACGAGCCCCCTGGGGCTCTGGAGGGGCCCGAAAGGGGCATGAAAGGGGACCTTTTCTGACCCCCCCATTTGTGACCCCCCCATTAAGCCACGCCCAATCAGGCGTGTGCGATGTCGCACCTCTGCCTCCAGAAAGGTCCGTGGGCCTGCCTGCGAGCACCTCGCAGGGCAGGCACAGCGAAACAGGGAGGCCCCCGGCTGCTACGATCGTGGCCCGTCCTGCCCTCCCGCATCACTGGAGGGGAACGATACACGCCGGTCGTTGAAAGTAGGTATCCCAGACCCCAGACCCCCTCGAGTCATGAAAAAATCACGACGGGAGGTTTTTCATTATTTTTGGCCTCCGGGGGCCCTTACCGGACCTCGGGACCGACAATAAACACGACTCAGGACGAAAAACCGGTCCCGGGGAATGGGTCCAGACCGCTGGGGGTCGACGTCATGAAAAAATCATGACGTCGGGGGTCTGGTATTTTTGGATTCCCAGATCCCAATCTACTACAAGCGCCTTCCTACTTCAAGAATCGACATGCTTTTGCAGTGTTTTGTTATTCTTTGGGGGGGCCTGGACCCAATCAACTTAATGCGCCTTCCTACTCCATGTTTGAAAGAGCGTGTTCTATCGCTGCTGGCGGAAAACCGGGGGGGGTCACTACCGGTTCGAACCCCTCCCCCCCCCCCCAATCATGAAAAGGGGGGGGGGTCACTACCGGTTCGAACCCCCCCCCCCCTCGAAAACCGGGGGGGTCACTACCGGGGACGGTGTTGGTGGGGACAGTGGTGAGGGGACAGCGGGACAGTGGTGGGGACAGTGGGACAGTGGGACAGTGGTGGGCGGTAGTGGTGGGGACAGTGGTGGGGACAATGGTGGGAACAGGGGGGACAGTGGACAGTGGTGGGGACGGTGGTGGTGGGGACAGTGGTGTGGGGACAGTGGGAATGAGGTGGAAACAGTGGGACAGTGGAGGGTACAATGGTGGTGGGGACAGTGGTGAAGGCGGTGGCGAGGACGGCGGTGGGACAATGGGACAGAGGTACAGTGGGGACAGTGGTGGGGCAGTGGGACAGTGGTGGGAACAGTGGGACAGCTCAGTGGGACAGCGGAGGAGTCAGTGGGACAGTGGGGACAGTGGGGATAGTCGGGCAGTGGTTGGGGCCGTGGAGACAGTGGGGAGAGTGGAACCGTGGTGGGAACAGTGGTGGGGACAGTGGGGACAGTGCGACAGTGGTGGGGGCACTGGTGGGGACAGTAGGGACGGTGGTGGAACCAGTGGGGACAGTGGTGGTGAGGACAGTGGTGCTGGGAACAACAGTGGGGGATGTGATGCGGACGGTGGTAGGGACCGGGAGTCGTTTGCTGGCGGTGCGTGGGGGGGGGGGAGGGTCGAACCGGTAGTGACCCCCCCTCCGGTTTTCGAAGGGGGGGGGGGGTTCGAACCGGTAGTGACCCCCCCCGGTTTTCGGGATCCGGAGGGAGGGGGGGGGGGGGGGGGGGGGGGTTCGAACCGGTGAACCCTCCCAGTTTCGAGGGGGGAGGGGGGGGGAGGGGGGTGCCGGGTGGGGGGGGGGAAGGGGTGGGGGGGGGGCCCCGGAGGGGGGGGGGCGACCCCCGGGCTCCCGAGGAAAAGGTTGGCAATTTTCCACAGTAAAGCGGCGGTGGATCACGCATTCTCCAATGTTTTTACCTACTTCCGACCGACGTGTAAGGAAGGGGCGCTGGCTCAGGGGGGGAGCATCGAGCCTGGATCGGCGTTCCGTCCCCGATCCATCGGCGATAGGCCCCCAATATCGACTAGACGCAAGAGTGACCTTTCGCCGGAGTGACCTTTGGTGCGGGCGCAGATGGGCCCCCAGATGGCTGAAAACGAAGCAGTCGCAGCTGCTTGCTCGCCTGGGTTTGGTCCCCCCGTGGCCCCCCAAAAGTCGCGCGCCAAAGGTCATGCCCAGGGTCACTCTTGCGTATAGCCGACGATAGCGAAACCGTGGGCGAGGTGGGCTGTCAGGCCCCTACCGGCGCTCAATGGGCGAGTGAGGGTCGATGCGCCCCCCCGCCGAGACTGCTCCCCCTCTATCGGCGGCGAGCGGGGGGGAGAAGTGAAGAGGAGAAGGCCTTCCCAGAACTCGGCGGGGCTTCTCAGAAGCCCCCCGCGCCTTCTGAGAAGTTTTAACTGCGTCTTCGGGGGAGGCCCTGAAAACGTCTCAGGCTGGGGGACTTCGAGCCTCCTGAGAAGGTCCGTCCCGTCTCACTTCTCCCCCTCTGCTCTGATGGGCCTGTTTTCCACCACCACCACCACCATAAGTTAGAGGGGTGAGGAGGTGGAGGATGAGGAGGAGGACGAGGACGAGGACTAGGAGGAGGACTAGGAGGAGGAGGAGGAGGAGGAGGAGGAGGAGGAGGAGGAGCCCTTCCCCCTCCTGCCTGTGATGGCGGCGGTGGAACGCAAGCGCACCGTGCTCGCCGCCGACCCTGGCGTGGCCCCCTGGCCTGCGAGCGTGACCCCTTGCCGCCGCCCCGCGAAGGCAGCTCCGGCACGGCTCCCGGCGCCCGCGGGGAGGGCGGCGCGGACCCGAGCGAGGCCGGAGGGCGCGGGCCGTCGACTTTTGGGCACCGCGCCCGGGCTCAGGTCGGGCAGGTGCCCCTGCGGGAGGAAGGTTCAAAGATAGTCGAAAAACAGTCTGGGGACTTTTTTTTCTTTATTTTACAATTTTTGAGCATTTTAGGGTGTTGTTGGACTATCTTTTTTTTTCGTCCTAAATCCCTCTGTAGTAGGCGGACAGGCCCGATTTAAGCCTGGGCTTCGGCCGGGCATGTGCCCCTACGGGAGGAATGTTCACAGATAGGCAAGACATGCTCTGGGGACGATGTTCGGACTAGGTGTGACCATTTGGGTGCATCTTTTGACCATTTCTTTGATTTTCCCCTCCAAGATCCGCCTGCAGGAGGACATGCCCGACCTGACCCTGGGCGCTGCCCACCCTGGGCCCAGCACCGCCGAGCTGGCGGCAACGGGGGAGGGGGTGGCCAGCCTGCCCCGGGGACCGGCCCGCCCCCAGTCGGCGGCGAGCGAGGGGGGGAAGCGAGAAGGAGGAGGCTTGCTCAGAAGGCGGCGGGGCTTCTCTCTCAAGGGAGGAAAAACCACCCAGACGCGACAGCTTGCGCTCACGAAACGGCCGTGGACGTTTGCCAAGCGGCCCTGCCCTGTTTGACTCCTTCCTCTCGGTGCGTTTACAAAACGGCCCCGCGTGTCGGGGTGGTTATTACCGGGGTGGATTGTCTGCACCCTCTATTCTCAGAAGCCCTGGCGCCGTTCGAGCACTGTTTGCTGCGTCTTCGGGGGAGGCTCCGAAAGCTTCTCGGAAGGCCCTGGGGACTCCCGAGGCTTCCGAGAAGGCCCGCCCCCTCTCGCTTCCCCCCCCCCTCGCTCGCCGCCGACCCAGGGCCTGCCGAAGGGCTCGGCCTCCGCGCCCACTGGGCTGCCCCTGCCTTGGAAGCAAGACGCCCCACCGCAGGCTGAGCTTAGCTGCCTCGACACGCCCGTTTTGATACAGTCGGGGCGCTGAAGAAGGAAACCTTTTCGTTGGGGAGGGGCTCGGTGTTCCTTGCTTGTTTCACAGCTTGCCTCAGGTTTTCCTTAGGTTTTCCATGGGGAATCGAAGTTTAAGTTAAGGGAAACAGGGGCCTCGTTCCTTATTTAGGGTTCCTTAGGTCAACGCCCCGACTGTACGCAACACGTGCCGTGTTCAAGACGTCCGTGTCAGTACGTTGCGTGTTGGCTCCGCGTGTTGAACCACGTTTTGGCGAGTGTATCGCGTCGGACCTACGTTTTCAGCCTACGCGTTGAGCTCCTAATCAATACGATTCGTGTTGCGTGTTGCGTACCGGGGCAGCTAAGAGGCTGAGGCGGCCGCGCCCCCTGGAGCGCGTCGCCGGCTCCCGGCCGAGCTCGGCTGCTCGCAAGAGTGAGCCGTGGCCAGATCGGGGTCCGGGGCTTCTGGGCGTGCTCGTCGGCTGCCGGTGATTGTTGTAGCCTCGGCATGGGTTCCAGCAGCTGCGCCTCGCCGGGAGCGGTCCTGGGCGGGCTTACTGGTGTCCCCCGATCGCTGGGAGCCTCCGCGCCACGAGGCCGGGCACCTGAGGGCCGCCGTCCGCGACCGCCTGCCAACCCTACCCCCTGCGGGTCCAGGCGACGCTGGGGTATCGGGCGCCCCCGCTTGGGGGGCCACGCCTGCCTGCAGGCACACCTCAGACGGTGCTTCAGACCTGGCTGAGCCCCAGCCGGTGTTTCAGAACTGCGACCTGCAGGGGTAGGGTGGGGGCGTTCGTTAAGGCATGTGCCCAGGAGGCTTCAGACCCTGGAGGGTTCCTTATCTGATGAGGGCGGCGACGATATCCATGGCCGATCCACGGTTCGGGTTCCACCAGCTTCCAGACCCTGGATTCCGTATCTAAGGGCCCCCTTGTCCAAGGCCCCCACCGTAGGGTTCACAGGCCAGAGCCGCCGTGCGTGTCTAGACGGCCAGTGCCGTCCGACACGAGGAGGACGGCCTCGCCCTGCTGATCGACCGGCTCGAGCGGGACGGGCTCGCGGCAGGGCTCCCGGCGGGCTGAAGTTTACGGCGGCGCCCTTGGCATCGCTCGGACGTTTGCATTTGTTCTCGGCGAGGACCATCGAGGAGCATCCTGGATCATCTTGCGTGAAAAACAGACGCACGAAGCCGACAAAACGCACGGGGAATGGACTTCCGAGTGATGACAAGCGCCCCCCCTCCCGCCCCCATATCGCGGCGACCATACTCGTATCCGCGCCCTCGCGGTCTGGATTCCGGGGCGCGAGTGTTCGGATATGAGGTCGCACGGATGCGCTCCGCGCGGGGGATCAGCGGCGAAAGTACCACGCATCCGCGGGGTCGCGGCCTAGAGGCCCGCGAGGCCGCGGACACAGAAGTGTGACATATGTCTCGCCCACGACGTACCAAAGCCCCATCGCGGGTGCGTGGTGCTTTATCTTGAGCCCCGACGAGTGATGCACGTTTTCGGCGCCCAGGTGGCCTCCAGGTAGCCTCGGATGGCCTCAAGGGGCTTCGGGCAGCCTCCGACAGGCTCGGGCGGCCACGGATGGCATCGGATTGCCTCGGTCGTCAGGGGGGAACTTGAACGTCGCGGACGGCCACGGATGGCATGAGATTGGATCTGTCGTCGGGGGGGAACTTGGGCCAGGGGGGGGGGGCTGTTTCTCCCCAGATTATGTTCCTGTTTCCTTTCCTCCCGACTCATCCACAATGTCGTCCTCCTTCTCTTGAGTATCCTGATCATTCTTCACGTTCTCGTCGTCTTCCTCCTGCTCCTTCCCCAGCAGTTTCCAGAAATTCGGTCTAGTCTCTAGCACCTCTTGACGTGGATTGGCACATGTAATAAACAGGCCGACAGGCCGATCACGTGCGCGCGGCTTTGCCTGAAAGTCGGCCCAGATATCTTCGCGGTCACTTTCTCGATGGTGACGTTTACCGTGCAGCACGTCGCGACTTTCGGGCTAGGGCATTGCATGCACGCGAAATCCAGGTGGGTCGAGACCCACCCGGCCGCTGGGCTTCATCAGTTTCCACGCTGCCCAGTTTTCCCGCGTGGCCCTGTCAAGGATTGCCGCCTCGCGTCGGGAAACCAACACAACGGCAGGATTTTCACCCTCTGCGGCCGCTGGGGGCCCTTCCAGGCCCTGGAGCCGCCCCAAAAAACGACCCGGGATGAAAGCCCACTCCGGGGGAAGAAAGGTTCGGGACCTTTTGGGGTCCACGTAAACAAAATCACGACGTCAGAGGCCTGGGAACCCAGCTGGCATCTTGTGGCTCGTTGGTGGCCCCGCCGAGGCCACCCCCTCGTGTGCCCGCAGTCTGAGTGTCCCGTCCTCGCCGTGTCGTCTCGTCGAGCCTGCCACCCTGTCGTGCCGTCTCCTCGTCCTGCCTTTCGTCTTCTCTTTGTGCCCCGAGCCGCCTCCAGGTGGCACACTCGTGGCCACCTTTGTGGTCCTCTCGTGGCCCCTGCGGATTTGGTTGTTCTGCGGCTGCTGCTGATGCTGCTGCTTCCCAGCCGTTCCGCTGCTGCTGATGTTGCTGCTGCTGCTCCTCCTCCTTCTCCTCGCCCACTAATCGTGTGCCGACAGTCTCGAGACGGCGCTGGCATCAGAGCCCAAAGGGAACGAAAGGAGAGCGTGCGGGGGGGATCCTCCTCCTCCTCCTCCTCCTCCTCCTCCTCCTCCTCCTCCTCCTCCTCCCTCCTGCTCTGTTCCTCCTCCTCCTCCTCTTCCTCCTCCTCCTTCTCCTCTGGCGCCCTATCCTCGCTGACCAATCGTGGGAAGAAGCAGCGCTACAGGCCACACCTCACTGGCAGGCTGGTACATGGTCGCTGTCCCCATGGCCATCTCATATTGCGCACGTGCAGTACTACCGCTCATCAACTTGCAGCGGAGTTCAGACCCTCAGCGGTGGATGGACTACCACCGCTAAGATGCACATCATTCAGCGCAGGTGCGCGCTCGTCTATGCCGACGCGCCTGACTCCCCCCCCCGCACTATCTATCCTGCTCCGCCCGCTCGAGGCTCTCGTGGCCCTCTGCCCCCGCCTCATCCAACCGAATCCGATTGGCCCCGCCTCAGCACATTCAGCTGTCGCCGCCAGTCCAGTTTCTCTGCCAGCGACGGTCTCGTGGCTCGTCCTGGCCGTCCACGTCTACAACAAGATGAACCCCCTGCCAGCGCCAGCGTTGCGGCTGCTTCACAAGCAGACCCGGCCGCATCGCGCCGTGCAGCACACGCTTCACCACGCAGGCAGAGGCGCCAGACCCGAGCACGCACTGGAGAGCCTAACTCGTTTGCCCCCCCTCTTGTTCGTGCTCGTGTCCGCCTGCCCTCTTCCTTTTCTCAGGGTACCCATACTCCTCATCTTTCTCCTCTTTCTCATCCTCCTCCTCCTCCTCCTCCTCCTCCTCCTCCTCCTCCTCCTCCTCCTCCTCCTCCTCCCCCCTCCCCTCCTCCTCCTCCTCCTCCTCCTCCTCCTCCTCCTCCTCCTCCTCCTCCTCCTCCACCTCCCCCCCCTCCTCCTCCCCTCCTCCTCACCTCCCCCCTCCTCCTCCTCCCTCCTCCTCCTCCTCCTCCTCCTCCCTCCTCCTCCGCCCCCTCCTCCTCCTCCTCCTCCTCCGCCCTCCCCTCCTCCTCCCTCCTCCTCCTCATCCTCCTCCTCCTCCTCCTCTTGTTCATCCTCCCCTCCACCGCATCCTTCTCCCGCTCCTCCGGCTCCTCGTCCTGGGTTCGTTCGTGCATTACGGGTTCTGAAGTCTATGATGATCTGGTCCTTCTCGCCCTCCTACTCCTCCTACCACCTTCCCCTCCTCCTCCTCCTCCTCCTCCTCCTCCTCCTCTTCCTCATATTCCCCATCCTCCTCTCCTCGCCACTCCTTCTCCGTCCGACTCCACATCGCACATCGCCCTCCTGATCCCCAGCCCCAGCTCGTCCTCCCCCTCCTCCCCGCACTCCTCGCCCTCGTCCTCCCCATCCGCCCTCTCCCTTGGCCGCAGACCCCCACCCCCCCTTTCCCCATCCGCCCCCCCCCCCCCTGGGCGGGATCCGGCGGCCGACCGACAGAGGCTCCTGGCCGAGCTCTTCAAACCAGGCACCACATGCGGGGTGGCCGCGGCCGCGGGCACAGCGGGATTCCGCCGCCCATCCCGCTTTGGAGGAGGAGGAGGAGGAGGAGGAGGAGAAGGCTCTCTCTCTCTCTCTTTTCTTCTCTCTCTCTCTCTTGTTCTCTTTCTCTCTCTCTCTCTCTCTTTCTCTTCTTTCTCTCTAAGTCTTGTTTTGATGTTCTCTCTCTTCCTCTCTTTCTTTCTTTCTTTTTCTCTCTCTCTCTCTCTCTCTTTCGGGAGGGCGAGAGAGAGAGGGAGGGAGGAGCAATACAGAACATCAGGAGGGGCAAGAATGCGAGCCGTGAGGGGGAAGAGGAAGGAGGAAGGCATGAGCAGCAGGAGGAACGTAGGGGGCGGTCGATGAGGGATGGGGGGAGAGAGCAGAAGCAGAGATGAGGGGGAGGAGCAGGCAGCAGGAAGGTGAAGGAATGTGGGGGGGATAAGATGGGGCCGAGTCCCGCTGCGCCTGCGGTCCAGCCTCCCCGTCGCATGGTTGTCCCGCTCCTACGACGCAGTAGCCTACAACTGGTCGTTCCACCCGTGACCTGCCCGCCGCGGTCTGCGGCCACAAATGACTCCATTCCACGCGGCGTTGAACCGCCCTTTTCCGGGCCCGCAGGTGTGAGCCAGAGCAGAAGGAGGCGGAGGAGGAGGAGGAGGAGGAGGAGAAGGATAATGAGGATGAGGAGGAGGTGGAGGGGGAGGTGCCAGGAGGAGGAGGAGGAATGAGGGATGCGAGATTTAGAATGAGATGAGGGTTGCGGAATGAAGGAGGATGACGAAGGGAAAAGGTGTTTTTTTCTATTGCGCTTGAGTTTCTGCTTCTCCTGTGCTCATGGGGTAAGTCGGCCACGGGCACCGCATCTACGAATACACCGCCCTCAAGCGTGAGCAAACACCCTGAATCCCGCTG